TCCCGGGGCGCGCCCGGCCTGCCGGGGGACGGTGCGTCCGGGCCGTTGGACACCGCGGCGCCCCTGCGTCCGCTCCGTTTGCAGTTGAAACGCTCGGACACCGCCCGGCGCCCGGAGTGAGGTGACGGGTCTGGCTGTCTGCGCGACGGGACGGGACGGGACGGGACGCGACGCCCACGCCGTGCGACGCCGTGCGCAGCGGCGTGGATAGGCAATAGCGAACGGTTTCCCTGACGGGAATGTAAGAACCCCGTGAGACGTGGGGGGATTGCATTGGCTTCACCTTGCGGCCGGCGCCGTCAGACACCACAGCCGTCCCGCAGGGGTGGGGGGCTGTGGTGAGCACGGGCAGGGGAATCGGGGAGAGGGACGTGAACATTGTTTTAAAATGAACAGTAATGGAAATAAATACGTAAACGAAGAAATTTTTAAAAATCAATAGTAATGTAAAGTACCCTTGTAAAGTGCCGGTTAAAATAATGCAATATTGAAAATGTAATAAATAAATACTACTGGGTGCTAGTACATTAGAATATTGAGGTGGGGAGTTTCCCGTTTTCCGAGATCTCACTGTATGTGTTACACAGAAACGCTTCTGAACGAGGTTGCAACTGTTTGCTGGAGCCATCATTAGCCCTCCCATGTACATTTTAGGGGTGGCAACCCGTGACACTTTTCATGAATGGAAAATAACTGAATGGAAAGGAGTGTTGGAGAATTTCAGGCACAAGTGGTTGACTGGAATTTTGCAGAGTCACAGGCAGTTCATTTCTATGGACTTGGTGTTGTGCACAGGAATTACAGACTGAAGGGTTGAAGAGAGAAATAAATGTGATCCAGACCTTATGTGCCATATTAAGGACTTCAGGCAGTTTTTAATCAGAGTTGGGTAATGAATCTACTGAGTGTCTCCTGCCATCAGCACTGGGTAAAGGATTGAACAGAACTTCACAAGGAAACTTCTAGAAGAGGCAGGAGGTGACTGAAGTCCCATTTTAAAGTGTTGCTCCCTCAAAGATGGGTTTTCCATATTTCACTGTACATGAAATGTTATTACCACCTTTTAAAGTACTCTCTAGAAGGTAAAATATTTCACTTTGAATTATTGTAATTTCTAAGATCAGCTTTACTAAAATGCAGTATTTTATTGTTTTAGAGAAGAAGCTCTTGGAGAAGAGTCCCAAGTTTACTGGAAAACTGACAACAATGCTATTTATCAAGTTGATGGGAGTAAATCCTTCAATTTTGGTAAGATTATAATAGTATGAAAAGTAAATATGTTATCTTTTACCTGTTGAAAGTACAAAAAGACATCATGATTTATTGTTAAAGATAAGTTTCCTTTAAAAAAAAAATCAAACTAGGGCCCTCCCTGGTGGCGCAGCAGGTTAAAGCACAGCACTAAGAAGCTAAAGCCACTTCAGCATGAGTTCGATCCCTGCCCTGGAGGTAACCACATGGCGTGGCAGACCTCTCCTGATCCACCCGCTGCTCCCCTCAGCAGTGTATCTCGTCAGTTGGCTTGTTCTGCTCCACACTCTGTTGCTGGTGAATCCTCTCAGCATCCCTGCACCTCTGGCCTGTACCGCAGTTCTGTATGCATAAAGAAATAAATCTTAAAAAAAAAAAAAATCAGACTATACCTTCTCTAAACTTCTTTAGTGGAAGTTTTTTTTTTTATGTTCATCATAAAATGATGTAAAAATGCGGCCCTCTCTGGTGGCGCAGCGGGTTAAAGCACAGCACTGAGAATCTAAAGCCACTTCAGCATGAGTTCGATCCCCGCCTGCCCCGGAGGTGACCACATGGCGCGGCAGACCTCTCCTGACCTGCCCGCTGCTCCCCTCAGCAGTGTACTTCGTTGATCTACCTGTTCTGCTCCCCACTCTGTCTCTGGTGAATCCTCTCACCCTCAGCATCTCTGGCCTGTACCCCAGTTTTATATGAATAAATAAATAAATCCTTTAAAAAAAATGATGTAGAAATAAACTATTATAATAAAAAAATGTGCATCACGAATACGTTAAAGTTACAAATTGACATTTAGAAAATTGTCATAGTGCCTTTTGACTGAAACTAATATTTTCTTATGCATATGTATGTATATATATTTAGGGCCTAAAATTCCCTAACCCCAAAACTTGTGGCTTAAAATCAAGTCATCTTTGAGCTCATTGGGTTCAGTGAGTTGCACAGAGAGTTGCAAGAAGCCCTTTAAGGCACAAATGGTGAAGCTTTTCCCTCTTAGTATGCTGGGACACCACGGGGTGCACCCTGCTTCTGTGGAGTTCATCATACGCGGGAAGGAAGACTTCCACACATAACCGCCCAAGTGCCGGGGGAGCCTGTCGAGGGAACCTAGTCTGTCCAGGTAGCCGCAGAGGTACCACTTGCCTGGGACCAGCCAGATGAGGGGCAGTTGTCCGGGACCGAGGAGGCTGGGTTGCTGAGGAGTGACCAGGCACTCCGGGCAGTGACCTAGCATGGGGGGTGCTGACGTGCTCCAGACACGTTCTGAGCACCTCGGAGACATCAGCTCTGGCAGGCTGTGCCAGCCTGTCAGTTGCGCTGCACACTGAGCCGCCTGTTCGATGAGCCAGAACAGGCTGTGCTCCCGCCGGCAGCAGTAGGGGGTCGCACTCCCAATCTCCGTCCAGCTCCTGGCTGTGCTGCGGCTCAGGCGCCTCAGCACCGCAATTCGGGTCCTCGCAACACCCAGGAGCCGTGCTGACGGTTACATCTCAGTGTTGAGCTGCCAGGCCAACATACCAGATTTAGGGTGAAGATGAGCAGAAGACAGAATGATTCTTGGAAAGGGACCGTTTGGTGGTATGGGTATGGATGTCATTTTCAAGATGTAACACACTTTGTGTCTGATCATAAAAGCAAGAGTCGGAAGTGTGCCCACTGGCACGTTCAGGTGCTGCCGGTTCTCCCAGGCACACGTGCCAGTGTGTGTTGCCGTCCTCCCGGCTGAGGTGCCCAGTTGTGAAGATTCGAACTATGCAGCTGGCCCTCCGCGCTCTGCAGCAGGGCTCCTTGTGCCCCATGTAGTCCTGCTGACCAGGATGTGAGTTCACAGAGCAGGCTGCGTGATCACTGAGGGTCAGTGAGGCCCCCTTCTGAATTGCAAGTTCACTTTTTAAGAGCTTTGTGATGTGAGACCACTAAAGGAGTGGTTCTTGTTCAGTCCGCTAAGAAAAGCAGAGAATTGCTTCCTAGGCTAGAGACTGTCAGTGCAAGCACCACCCAGCCCAGCCCTCCACAGCCGGCCAGCTCTTCGCCCATGACACTGCAGCGTTGTCCAGTGCCGATCTCCTGTGTGTCTGTGCCTTGCTGTGTGACTAGAGGTTCTTGCTGCATAGATTCTGAACATTTAAACTTCTCTAAGAATAATCCCATTTGCTAAGGAGTATTAGTAGGCTCACAATCATTCTGTGAGGAAGATAATGCGCATTCACTTCTCAAGTCAGGGACTGAGGCACGTGGGCCAGCTTGTCCAGAGTCCCGCCGCTTCAAACCGGCAGAACCAAGCTTTCTGTCCAGCCTGACCCAGACCGCCACATGTGCCCTACTCTCTTGAAAGCAGTAGGAGAGCCGACTTGTGAGAACCAGCACAGAGAACTGATAAGAAAAAAACATTGTGGCTTAAACATTTTATCATACTACACCTGTTGGTATACACCTTTGGATAACTGCTGATTTGGGATGAAAGCACATATGATTTGTTCGGTTTGATTTCTGTTTTGTCTTGTTTTTAGATCGTGTCTTCCATAGTAATGAGACCACTAAGAACGTGTATGAAGAAATAGCAGTACCAATCATAGACTCTGCCATCCAAGGCTACAATGGTTTGTACTCACTGAACACACGTTTTCGTCTTGGGTGTCTGTTTAGCAGGAATTGATAGTTTCTCAGCTGTCAATTTGATTTGCAATCTTTGTTCTTTTTGTAGGTACTATCTTTGCCTATGGGCAGACTGCTTCAGGAAAAACTTACACTATGATGGGGTCAAAAGAATATTTGGGTGTAATACCCAGGGCGATTCATGACATTTTCCAAAAAATTAAAAAGGTAAGTACCTAAGTTTCTAGCTTGAGTAGAAGTGGTAATAGGAGCACCAGTGATGAAAGGAAGCAGATTGCAGCCCTCTTGCCTCCCTGGAGGAGAGGAAAGGCAAGAGAGCACCCACTTCCCCGCACACTAGCTTCACGGCAGTTACAGGTAGTGCTTGCATGATAGTTCTCCCGCCCTCTTAGAGCCTCAGAGAGGGATCCTCCTTCCAAAAAGTGGGCGCCAGGGGGCAGGGAAATCTTACTGGCATGGTGAGGCCCCTGCCAGTGGTCACCAGGGAGCAGCGAAGGCAGATGCAGGTAAGAGAAAGGAGGCAAAGGGTGAGCGGCGCAGCTGGGCCGCTAGTCGGCAGTGGCTTCGTGTTGATGATCCATGATGTTCCTGTTCGGACACCACTACGTAGGGCTTTTCCGTTTGGAGCCTAAACAGAGTTGAGCTGGACTCTCTTCAAATTCTGTGCTGTTATATTTGCATCATTGGTGACATGATGCGTTTAGATTGTGCCTTTTTGCTGTCAGTGTAAAATCAAGGGTCTGTGTGTGTTTGTGTTAGGAACTTTTTGTTAGCACATGATTCTTCAGTATTAGGTTATGATTAGAGATCATAGTTGGGTGCTTTCTGTTTCTACTCTCTTTTTTCTTTTCTTCTAGTTTCCTGACAGGGAATTTCTCTTACGTGTGTCTTACATGGAGATCTACAACGAGACCATTACAGACTTACTCTGTGACACGCAAAAAATGAAGCCTTTAATCATTCGGGAAGACTTCAATGTAAGAGTTCAGGGGTTCCAAAAACAGACGCACATCTGGGGTTACTGTTCTTCTACTGTTACCTGGAGTTTCTGTTTTAAAAGTGTCTGTTGTTTGTTTTTTGTTTTCTTAAGTATTCATAGAGGTCATCTTTTAAACAATGTGTTATGGTTTTTAAGTGTTGATGGCTAAAATATTTTGTGTAAGTGCATAAAACAACAAGGTGGAAGTCTCAGAATCCGTGTGCTGTGGTACAGGAAGTAATCGCGAGCTTCATCAATTCACTTGCGATCGCCAGGTGGAATAATACTCCCGTTTTCCACTTTCCACTTCTACAAATGAAGTCTGTGATAGTTTATACATTCTCTTTGCAATGTCCACTTTCAAGTGACTTCTAGTTCTTTGATCTTCTCATAATTGAATTGTTTCAGAGGAATGTGTACGTGTCTGATCTCACAGAAGAAGTGGTCTACACGTCAGAAATGGCCTTGAAGTGGATCACAAAGGGAGAGAGTAAGACCTTATGCCTGCATTCCTTCAGAACCCTTGTGTAAACTTTGCAAGTGAATGTTTTGGCTTCTAATCACACTTTGTACTTTCAAACTGCAAAAAAGTGAGTGGTTTTCTCTGGGCTTTAACATATGTGGTGACATATGACTCACTTTTTTGCAGAAAACAGACATTACGGAATTACGAAAATGAATCAAAGAAGCAGTCGTTCTCATACCATTTTCAGGATGGTAGGTAGCTCCCTCTTTGGTCTTTTCAATTAAGAATACATTCCTTTGGCCCTCCCTGGCGGCGCAGCACTGCGAAGTTGGCTGCTTCGGTGCGAGTTCGGCCAGGGAATGACCCAGAGGGCACAGCAGACCTCCTGTCTCTCCACTGCCCCCTCAGCAGTGGACTTCATCGATCTCCCTTTTCTGCTCCCCACTCTGTCTCTGGCGAAGCCTCTCACCACCCCTGCACCTCTGGCCTGCACCCCAGTTCTGTGTGCATCAATTAATGAAAAGAATAGATTCATTTTTTACAAGTTGCCTTGTCTGTCCAGATTTTGGAAAGCAGAGAGAAAGGCGAATCTTCCAGCTGTGACGGCTCCGTCAAGGTTTCCCACCTGGTGAGTGAGCGTGTGACGGCACCGCAGGCCGGCGCCAGAGTCCCTGGCCGCCTGTCAGTTTCCTCCCTGTGAGCTGAGTGAGCAGACTGTAGGGAGGGGGGGCACCGGGCAGCGCAGGTGTGTGAGCGCCCCGGCCATCCAGCGCCGCACACAGTGGGGGCCGAGTGGGAGAGACTCAGTTCCTGGGCACAGTGTGAGCTTCCCGAGCGGCCAGGGGGCCAATAGCAGCAGTCTCGGGGGCTGCCTGTAGGGTGGAAAGAGTGTCGCGTCTGCCCAGGGCTGGGAGCTGGACCCAGGGTAAGGGGAGGGATCAGCAGCAGCCTGCGGGCTAAAACCGCTTTCAGTAGTCTGGGTCCTGACATGTCCGCCTAACCTTCCTGCTGGTGTCTCTCACCTCATCTGCAGAACTTGGTTGATCTCGCGGGCAGTGAAAGAGCTGCCCAGACAGGAGCAGAAGGTAAGGAAATGGCCTGAGGCCTGCTGACTGGGTTGTCTTGCTATTATTTCACGGGGTAAAAAAAAGTGCTGCAGTATGGTTTAGAAACTGCAAAACTAATAGATCTTCTGACAGAAGTCTTTCACTTAAAAAAAGCATCATCTGTATTGACTAGATCTCTACTTTAGCCTGAAGTAGTGTCTGCTAGAAAACTGAAGCTATGTGGACCCCCCGCTGTGTCTCTGGGAAGCCCAGGGGGCAGCCTGAGAACCGTCCACACCCCAGTAGTCACTGAGGCAATTCAAAGAGGCAGTCAGCAGAGCGCCAGTGTCTGCGCCAGTGTCCACACCAGCTTGTTAGAATAGCCACTGCATAGAAATCGTCCTTTATGTAGAGCAATATAAAGAAAACTCCAAAACACACCTGAAGAGCAAAAGGGAGTTCTCACCTTGGGAGACTGCCTCACAGGCAGCTCCGTGTGATGGAGCCTGACAGGAACATGCGTGGGCGTGGGCGTGGGCGTGGCCAGCAAACCAGCCACCCGCAGGCGTGAGGTTGGACTCCACGCCGGCGTGAGCAGCTGCCGTTACGGTGCCCGAGGGCCGCACTGGTGCAGTAGCACCGGGGGCCACTTAGGCGTTGCAAGCGATGGTGCTTTGTTTAGTAGTAGTAGCTTGGTAGCCGGCATGTCATTCCACAAGATGCCGGGCCAGGACATGCAGATAACGGCCGTGGTGGAATTCTGTGCCTGCAAAGGAATGAGAGGCCAGCGTGCAGAGATGGGGCATGTAGCCCAGCGAGGGGCACACGCACTGAGCAGCGTGGCGAGAGCGTGGCCCGAGCGGAGAAGGAGGCAGAGAGGCGGGCGCGGGCGCTGTGGCGCTGACGGTCCCTAGGGTGAACGGCTGGGTTTCTGGCGAGGACAGCGCCGCGGCAGGAGCTGCAAGGGGGAGCGAGCTTGTCCGGCGCACTCTGTCCTGCTTGCTGGTTTAGCCACCTGAGCACACGTGCGCTTAGAGAAGACCCTTTGTGCTCGTCATCTGTCGTTGCCTCCGACAGTTTGGAAGAAATTGGTGTGCGGGGCGGCCTCTTAGGTGTGGGCCTCGCTCCCGCTTGTCTCGGTCATCTGTCTCCTGGTCCTTTCTCAGCTGTCGCCTCCCCAGTCCGTGGCAGGCGAGCGGAAGGGGCTCCCTCACCAGAGAGAGGCAGGCACAGACTTCAGCCCTGACCCCGCCGCCTGGCTCCCCCTAACTAGGGTAGGGAGCCCCTTCCCCACGGAAGGCCACTTGTGCTTTCCTGTCTGTCTGCTCCACTCAGGCGTGCGGCTCAAGGAAGGCTGCAACATAAATCGAAGCCTGTTTATTTTGGGACAAGTCATCAAGAAGCTGAGTGACGGACAAGCAGGGTGAGTCTCCTGGCGTCACTGGTGACTGTCCGTGTCTGCTGGGGGGAAGGAACAGTAGTGGGGAGCTAAAGTTTCCCCTGGTTTCCCCTGCGTTCAGACACCCTGTAGCTCCGCCGTGCGTGTCTTCTTATACATCTTACCAAGAGCTAAATTTGCTGCCTGTTTTATATGTTTTCTAGTTTTGATCTGCCCCTTATAACTTATAAAGAACTAATTCTTAAAGCTGTGCCTAACCTAAGGGTCTTAAACCAACCATTTGTGATATAAAAATTCTTTTATCTTTTTTTCCAAAATCATTTCTCACTTAGCGGTTTCATAAATTATCGAGATAGCAAATTAACACGAATTCTCCAGAATTCCTTGGGAGGAAATGCCAAAACACGTATCATCTGCACAATTACTCCCGTGTCTTATGATGAAACCCTTACCACTCTGCAGGTGAGCTTCACTTTCATCTCGATTAAATGTGGGGAGAAACCACCTTTCAGAAAAGAATTGAGACACAGACTTTCTCTTTGACTTTGCATACCTCATAACAGTCCTGGGGTCCATGGAATAGCATGTCTTAATTTCCTCACACTTGAATTATTTGTATGCTCTCGCTACATCTTTTGCCACATTCAACTCTAATTTATTGCAATTGCCTTGACATTTTTCTTTAGCTTATTTTTTATTTTCACTATAAAAGGAAACTATTAGTCATATAAAAGAAAAGCAAGCATCACTGTCAGCAGTTAGAAGGCGGCACAAAAAGGTGTGTGTATATTTCTAACAAAACAATTCGGAAGTTTCTGCTGGTTGATTGGTGTCTGCCTTAGCTCTGACCCAGGCTTCTCGGAGGCCGCCTGCACGACCCTCCTACAGTGACTTGTGATGCTCATCCTCTGAGAACATTGCTGCAGGTGGCTGTTGGCCCTTAGGTCAGGGCACATCGGATGCAAAGACAGAAAATAGACTCCCTGGCTTCACAGGGTGCAGTCTCACAGGAAGAGGCCTGGCTTCCAGTGTGCTTGTCGTGGCTGTATGGCTAATCGTGGGCTGGCATCACAGGAAGGAGAGATGACTGGAAGCGAAGCTCCTTGCGGGGCACATGGGGTCCAGCATGCGTGTGGCGGGGCCTGTGGTGTCCATCCGCAGAGCAAAGCTTCCTCTGAAAACCGGCTGCAGGGGCTTGGTGCTTCAGGGACAACTGCTGCTCTCTGCCCCAAAGGCGTAAGGCAGCTACAAGCAACTACTGTGTGTGTTAGTTACCAGAAACCTAAATGAGATTAATTCTTTTTTAGTTTTGGACACCTAACACTGTTGTGTTTTTTCCCAGTTTGCCAGCACTGCTAAATACATGAAGAACACTCCCTATGTTAACGAGGTGTCCAGCGATGAAGCTCTTCTGAAGAGATACAGGAAGGAAATCATGGACCTTAAAAAACAGTTAGAGGAGGTGGGTCTGAGCCTTGTGCTTTTGAAAAGAGTTGGGTCAGAGTGAGAGCTGGGGTCTGAATGCCCGGGACAGCACCTGAGTCCTGCAGCCTGGACCTAAACATTTTCAGGAAAAAAACAGCTCAAAGAGTTGACTGCTTTCCTACACACCGTGAGACAGAGTTTCTTGAAGTAATTCGGGATTTGGTTGTTCATTTCCAAAGGGCAAATTTTGAGATACTCACGTGGGCCATGTAGAGATACTTCCTAGAAAGGCCTCGTCGCTCCAGCTTGGGTGCTTCGGCCCTGAGACAGAGCTCTGACACGGTGTAATCCCTGCACTGCAGCTTTTGTGACCAGCGTGGCCCCATATTTTGCAATGTTTGTATGTTAGTAATCTCTTTAAACCTGAGCCAAGTGGTCGTCTCATGAGAACATTTTGTGCTTCCCTTTAGGGATTCAAGTCTCTGCCTTTATGACTTTTCTGCTTTGTATTTGTGTATTTTTTAAGTACTTACTAGGGTTGCTGTAACAGCAGTGACATGAAAAGAAATGTGCATTCTTCTTTATTATACACTTGAGAGATTATTGATTATGTCATTGCATGTGAGTGTTCCCTATGGGTCAGGTGTGTTTTATTTCAATAAAATTAAAATTCTCATCACTTACACACAAAATTTATGTTCTTCTAAGCTACTTTTCAGGTTTTGAAATCTAGCTGCATTATCCACATAATCCAATGTTACGTTCCGTAGGTTTCCTTAGAGACTCGGGCCCAGGCAATGGAAAAAGACCAGTTGGCCCAACTTCTGGAAGAAAAAGATTTGCTTCAGAAAGTGCAGATTGAGAAAATTCAGAACTTAACACGGATGCTAGTGACTTCTTCTTCCCTCACCTCCCAGCAGGAATTAAAGGTAAACCCTTAAAGGCGATGGCTTCACTTTGTCCGCAGAGGATAGAATGTGTGTTCTGATGTGTTCAGTAACCAGCGGTTCTTGCCGCAGCGTGTGTGGGAAGCCCGGGCCTTGCGGCCTGCCTGCTCCCCAGTGGCACTGCCCACATGTCCACAGGCCTTAACTCGGGGGGGGCCTAGATTGCAGGCCAGGGGTGTGTTTGCTCTTGCTTCAGAGAGTCGGCTGTTGGGAACCACAGGCCTCCAAGGTAGGTGGGACATTTTCTGTTTAAATAAATCCAAGTAATAGTCTCAGGGAAATTGAGAATGAAATCAACATAGTGATTAAAAAAAAAAGTCTGGCTTCCAATTTGTGTGCTTTTGCTTTCACTCAAGAGGGGGCTTATTTCTGGGTTCAGGTAAGGAGTGCTGCGGCGCTGACTGCCCGCAGGTGACCCTGTTCTGGCGACGCCACCTCTTGACACCAGGCAGTTCTTGGGTGTGCTTTGCAGCTGTTCCCTTACCTGTGAGCTGACGGGTGTGAGAATTACATGGCACAGTACAGAAATGCGCTTGCCCCCACGCTGCACACAGCACCTCTTCAGCAAGTTCTCCTGCGTGGGTTGATAGTGGGAGACACTGCTAGGCATTCAGGACACACCTGGCAGGTAGGAAAGGCCCAGGGGGAGGTCTAGGCAAGGGGGTCTCAGGAAGAGCCGGGATAAACAGCCTGCTCCAGACTGACATTGCCCAGGGGCACGCACATTTTAAGCCACATGGAAGGATTCGAGCACTGCAGTGCTGTGGACAAGGAACGCCCTGGTGCGGCATGCTCAGAACTGCAGCTTCGAAAGGCATGGCTCTGGAGAGGAAATCCTGCTGTGCTCGGCAGGACCCCACGATTGCTGAAGGGCGAGGAGCAGAGAAGACGAGAGCACAGTATCCAGGCGCCCGCAGACTGGGGTGCTGAGGAAGAAGTGGGGGGCCCCAGCTCGTGTCAGCTAAACCCCATGGGCGCTTACAGGGAAGCCTTCAAATGAAAAATGAAATGCGACTTAGTTTCATCTCCTTTTTGTGGCAGTCACTGACACGAGAAGTGGGACTATGTTTTCTCTTCTGAGGATGCCCTTACGCTCCCACCACAGTAGTTAAGAGAATTCTGCCAAGCTGGTAGTTTTCAAAAGGGGAACTAACTCTGTTTTCTGGTGTTTGAGCTTAGGTGAGGTCATTTTGTTCCTTTCTATTTAGGCTAAAAGAAAACGAAGAGTCACTTGGTGTCTTGGGAAAATTAACAAAATGAAGGAATCAAACTATGTCAATGAATTTAACATGCCAGCAAATGTAACAACAAAATCAGAAAGAGCTACTCTAACGGTCCTGGGGGAAATCGATGAATGTGAGTGTCTTTTCAGCTGCTTTTGCTTATGAAAGCATCCCTATAAAGAGGAAATTAATTCACAGCTCAGTGCAGTAAGCACATTTTTTAAAGGTATGTTAGCTGTGAGAATGCAGGTAATGATAAAACCAAATAGCTCGAACAAAGTGGAAACTTGGAAGCCCCCTCAGACCCCGAGGAGCAGTGTTTGAAACACTTGAGGCAGATATTTTTACTGTTTTTCCCCCTCGTCATTATCCAGTTAAATTAGTTCTCCTGTACCTTCCACCTTAAACTGCTAATCTTGAAATGATGACATTTACATTGAAATCTGTTCCAAAGTCAAGTCTCCAACATTATAAGTATTTTTTGACAAAAATTTTAAGTCTCACAGTGATCAAATTCCATTCAGAAGGGATTTGTCCATTTTACTTGTATTAAAGTTATTAAGGAGCATTACTTTATCATTATGCTGACAAGCAACTTTTTTTTTTTAATGTAGAATAACTGGAGCGTAGGCAAGAGATGCAGGGGTTGAGAGGATTCACCAGAGTCAGAATGAGGAGCAGAGAAGGCAGGTCTATTGAAATCCACTGCCGAGAGAGCAGCGGGGAGACAGGAGAGGCCTGCTGCGCCATATGTTGTCACTCCCTGGCCGGGGGTCGAGCTCCAGACGTAGTAGTGGTAGCTTTCACAGCATCAGGGTCGCCCTCCCAGCAAGCGACCTTAACTCAGTCAGCAGCAGCATGTGACCGTCTCTCTTGTCACTGCGTCCTGGCCATTCAGAGTGTGAACGTCCATCAGTCAGTTTGAGCTTATCGTTACCTCTAACCAGGATTTTTCAGTGATCTCAATGTGATATTTAGGAAACGGTTAAGGATAAATTTCTTTTCCCCTCTTAGCGCTTTGTTCAGAGTCTGATGTTTTCAGCAACACACTCGATCCGTTAACAGAGGTAGAGTGGAACCCAGCGACAAAGCTACTAAGTCAGGTAAGCCAGCGGTGCACTTCACAGAGTACACTTTGTTCATTTTGAAGTCCAGTTGCTTCTTGGTGTCTGCTGCTGTTGGAGCACGTTACGAGCTCTGATTTAGTTCCAGTGACAATTCTGCATCAGATCAAGTCTTCCCGAGCTCTGACTGTGGCTTCCCGAGATGGCTGAGGTGCAGGTGGAGGTGCTGGTGTCAGGCTAGAGGGGCCTGTGCTTTCAGGTCTCTGCCAGCAAATCTAGTGTCACGGTTTTTTCAGGGATCTGGTTTGCTTTGGCAAAGCCATTAGGGCAAAAAAAAAAACCCTTATTTGAAAGCGTGACACATATATTGGTACTACAGGAATGATAGATCAGGGATGAATACTAGTGTCAAATAACATTGAAAGGTAAAAGTAGCTGTTATATTTGGTTAAAGCTTTTAAAAACAAGGAATACCATAATGAATACTATAGACTCCATGTTTACTTTGTAGCCTGCTGAAGTTCAAAGAGGTTTGTATAGTTTTTGGATTACAGTTGTTAAAGACATCTTCGGTTTAATTTTGGGATACAACACAGTGCTTGTTGGAAATTACTATCATTAGTTAACCGTTATGATTGCTTACTATTGTTAATTAATTAGGTGTTGTAGGGAGAGTGCTTGTGTCTGAAATAATATCCTTGAAGTTTGTTGTATTTTTAAAATCCCTGGTGTTTTTGCCTTTTTTTTTTTTCATAACTCCAGGCTTATCTCTCTCATAATTATATAGAAAGTAGAAACTTGAGTAGGGAACCATCAGTCTTTCAAAAGTCAATGAATAAACCTCTGTTCTTGGTCCTAAATTCAGAGCCCTCTGAGAAACTGTACAGTCAGGCAAATGGACAAATAAAATAATTACCTGATGAATCCAAATTTTCGTTAAGGAAACAAAGATTACGTGACATGTGCTCTCTCTCTTACTTGACAATCCCATTTGGTTTACAATAGGAAAACTTAGAGAGTGAGCTGAGCTCACTTCGTGCTAACTATGATAATCTGGTGCTGGACTATGAACAGCTGCGAAGAGAAAATGAAGAAATGGAGTTGAAATTGAAAGAAAAGAACGATTTGGATGAATTTGAGGCTCTGGAAAGAAAAGCTGAAAAAGATCAAGAGGTAAGAGGCGTGACGACAGAACACGAAAGAAAGTGCACGTGGGCGAGAGGTGGCGGTTGCTAGCAGCAGGGCCGGGCCACTCTCCCCCAAACACACGGCCGCACACCTAGGAAGTAGCTCCTCTACCTTGTTTCACAAGTAAGTCATATTTGTTTCACTTAAGCTCTTAGACAAGAAGATGGAGGAATTAAAGATATTTTGGGAAAGATGTTGATGGATTCCTGATGAAGAAATTACTTTTCTGTGATTTGTTCATGTTTCCTTTACTGGCATCCTGGGGATCTGATTTTGCATGTCCTTTCTCTCTTTATAGTTATTTGAAAATTAATGCTAAATAGCTTTAGGGAATTTTTAGAAATGAAATAGGCCAGTTAGATTTTTCAAGTATATAATATCAGCGTCCATATTAAAAGAACCTAATCCAAAAACCATCAGACTTCAGAGCCTCAGAAATTATCCAAAAATTGAAGGCATTTCTTAGTCCAGAATCCTTAACTTATGGACATGATGAAATTACTGTGTAAAATTCTTTAGTGAATATTTGCTTTTTTGGAAAAAGACCCCACAACTGTTGCCAGATTTTGAATTGATCCATGAACTCTCCCAAAATCAGTGGCAGTGTTTGGTGTAGTGAAAATACAGGTTAATTTACCACAACTTGTCGGTAGTGGTAAATAGCCCAAAGGACCCAATCCTTTTCTTCAGCATTATAGTCTCTTGGCCTCTTTTCATATTTAAAGGAGGAAGAGAATTCTATACCAAAACTGTCATTTCCGTCTACCCATGGAGTTATTCCTGCATTTCCTAGGTATTTTGTTTGTGAGACAGATGTCTCTCAGTTCTTCATGGGGGTCATTTAACTTGTTAAAATTTGCATATTAACAAAATGCACCATCATAATAAGAGCAGCGGCTTTCAGTCAGTCAGATTGAGTTTTGCTGAGAGGGTGTTGGCTCTTGTCATGTGGTTTCTGAAGCCAAGCTACCTAGAAGCTCCAATGTGTCACTTACTACCTCCCCAGATCCAAGCCTACCCTGGCCAGACGGCAGGGCCTGGAGCGAGCCTCGACCTCCCTGGCTGCTCTGCAGGCCTCCTCCTCCTGCCTCAGAGAGGGCTTGCCCTCGGCCTTCTCCATGGTTCATCCAATTATTGTATATCTCCTCCGGTTAATAATAATATGACGTAGCTAGTTTTGGGCATAAACGTAGCATCCAGTTCTCTAACTTCTTATAGCACTTAACAAAAATGAAGTTCACTGGATCGAGTTAGTCAAAGGAGCAAGAGCTGTTTCAAAATTGGAGGTTTTCTTATGTAAATTATTTTATGTCACATGCTGCCGGTCTCAGCTGAAACCCACAGTGTCTGGGTGTGCTGGCCGCCCGCTCTGCCGGCCCTGCACTCACGGCTGGTCATTTATAGACCCAGCACTTCAAATGAAGTGCTGTTTCACATGACAAGGGGGACAATTTTTCTTTCTAAGTGTTATCCAAAAATAAGATTTTCCATTTGGTTTTTCTGTTTTGGTAAAGTTGATTTTTCTGCCTAACAGAAATGTGGAAGAAAGCTTCCAAGCAGGAGTCAACTTAAGTTAGAGTCTTACACAAGCGTCTAACTGCCTGGCAGGACTGGCTGGTGCTTGAGCACTTGAAAGGAGACCAGTGTCAGCAGACTGAGAATAAACAAAGAAACCTAATAGCTTGAGAATTGTTATGTTGATACCACAAAGTAATACTTGGGGTCTGTTAAGCTCAATAAAATTTACTATTAAAAGTATTCTACATGTTTGTTTTTATGCTTTGAGGATTCATCTGTTTATGAAGATTAAGTAAATAAGGAAAATGTGTTTATCTTTGGTAAATTATAGACTGTTCTGAATGCAAAAAAAAATCTGATATTCAAGTATTTAATCCTACCATTATTTTGATAGACACTTTAATAGAATTACTTTCATCTTAAAATAGTCTTTGTACCTTTGATCAGCTGAATTATGTAAAGCAATAACATTAATATTTTTCTGGAGAATAGGGCGACAGTACCGTGGCTTATTCCGATCCAGTCTGAGCTCAAAATCACAGCCTATAGAGCTAAATGGGTCATTTATGGGAGAGAAGAAAATCTCCTCAAATGAATCTGTTTCTGCCCTTAACTTACACAAAAAAATCTAAGAAAAGTATATTTTTTTAAAGCCAAATTGCCAGTTCTTGTCCCTGAGTGTTGCATACTAATTTGCTTTTGAAATCATGGTAGCTTCATTAACAGACGGCATACAGTCACGTGGTCGTGCCAGGGTTTTGTTTGTTTCTATTATTGGGCTTTGGGATTTTTTTGTTTGGTTGGTTTTGGTTTCTGCTGCTTTTGCATTTTTAATGGCTCTTAAATGATGAGGTGCTCTGTTGCAGGCTTCTTCTAACTGTGATGGGTGGTTCTGACGCTGTAAATGAATGCTTTTTTTTTTTCTTTATTAATTATTGGTTTGCTCTGTTGCCTGTTCACATGCTCTTACAGATGCAACTAATTCATGAAATTTCCAACTTAAAGAATTTAGTTAAGCATGCAGAAGTATATAATCAAGATCTGGAGGTGAGCATTTCTGTTGGTATTTCTATTGACAAGGGATTAGAAATATAAATCATGTAATAATTTTGTAATTGAACATGACTTCAGAAAGTAGAAGGAATTTTATTTTTGAATGTGACCTTTTAAAATGTTACTGTCTACATGTTTAAGCTGGTCAATGTAATTCCTTTCAGTAACTTAGAACCCAGTGACATTTCACTCCCCTTTGGCTCTTTTAGAATGAACTAAGCTCAAAAGTAGAGATGCTAAAAGAAAAAGAAGACCAGATTAAGAAGCTACAGAAATACATAGACTCTCAACAGTCAGAAAACACAAGAATGGACCTGTCGTGCTCATCGGTAAACGCAGCTCACCCTGTGCAGCGCTGGCCGCTGGGAAGCCCCCGCCTCGGCACCGGGGCGCATGTTCCGTCCGGCTCCCACGCCTGCCCCGTTCTGGTCGATACCCAAGTGACATTTTACTTAACGCTGTCAGTCACCCTATGAGAAAGGGGCTCTTGTGGCCATTTTAGGGGTGGAGAACCACTAACAGAGTAGAAGTTTTTTTCTGAGTGAAGAAACTAATTTAGAACTTCAGTGATTCAAACCTTTTCTGTAGTTTAAACATGTGCAGAAGTGTACAGTTCTTGTGCTCAGTGAGCACTTCTGTGGGTGGTCAGCAACAACAGCTATGACGCATGCAGCCGGGCAGGATGTCTCCTGTCTCAGTATGTATTCTTCTGATTGCAGCCACTACTTTAACAATTTGGGGGTGTTCTTCAGAAACATAGCTCTAGATGATGTTGGTTGGTGTGAGATCGTGGCCTGAAGTAACATTGAAAGCCACGAAGAACGGCTAAGCTCTTTTCTGCCTGCTTTCAGACCACCTGGATTTTCAAGTTTGAGCCTACTGTTTAATATGCTGTTTTACAAGACCACATTTTCTAATCAGACTGTATCACATGTTACTTTCTGTTTCTAGGTTTTCACTTAATCACACAGTGCTTTTCTTTAAGCTTCTCTTACTACCCTCTTGCTTACGCCTGTAACACCTGATTCTCCCTCAGCACATTCTCCCTGTTCTGAGGCTCTGGGAAGACAGCCCTGTCACGCTACCCTGGGTCTCTGCTGATTTTGACTGAGTGGCAGACTCACCCACTTGTTTAAGATTGTTTTTAGCTCCCTTTATTTCTAGATTGGGTTTACTCATTCTCTCATGCATGCAAAAATATTTTGTCAGAAGTCATGTGGTAGAACTCATTCAGTTCATGATGATAAAATATGCCACTTCTCCAAACATGAAACTGGATCTTTTCAAGTTTATTTTAGACAGTAGCTTAAAAATAAAAATACAGGTGGAATTTTGACAAGCTAACTGAACAATTTTATTGACCTTTTTCACAAATTGATTTCTTAAACCATGATATTCTATACAATGCTTTCACAATTCAGAAAAGAATAACCAGTATTTTAAAAATATATGTTTCTATTATGGGAAACATTTCCTTTGACCTATTCTGGACTACTTTTGGGGAGCAGCACGCTTCCATCATCTTTGACGTGTCAGGAATCACGTCTGTGTACGTGTCCTGTGAAACCTCCCTAAGTCTGAGAATGTTAGACTTCACTAACCCTTCTCTTTGTATCCATAAGGAAAACACTGGTGACCTAAAACAAATAAAGCAGACCCTGCTTGATGTGGAAACTGTCGCCCTTGATTCCAAGAGAGAGTCAGCCTTTCTTAGAAGTGAAAACTTGGAGCTGAAAGAGAAAATGGTAAGTGATGTTGTAATAGTTGTTATAAGTGGTGTGATCAGCACATTTTTGTGATTTTTTTTTTCCAATGTTTCCCTAAATAGAAAGAACTGGTGAGTTCATGCAGTCAAATGGAAAATGACATTCGTACATATCAAAGGCAGTTGGAGACAAAAAAGAAAATGCAAATGGACCTAGAGAAAGAGTTGCAGTCTTCTTACAATGAAATAACAAAGCTCACTTCCCTCGTGGATGGCAAGATTCCAAAAGGTGTTTTATAATTTCAGGTTTACCACCATACAAATCCAGCTTTGTCTAGCAATGTACCAGAAGTTATGTTGCATTCTGTTCCAGTGGGTAAAAATCCATCACTCGGGCTCTCCCTAGAGGCACAACAGGTTTAAGCACTTTATAAATCTCTCTGAAGCCACTGCAGTACAAGTTTGAACCCCCACCAGGGAGCTGACCGACATGGCACAGCAGACCTCTCCTGACCCGCCCGCTGCTCCCCGCAGCAGTGTATTTCAGTAGATCTGCCTGTTCTGCTCCCCACTCTGTCTCTGGTGAATACTCTCACTCACCACACCTCTGGCCTATACCCCAATTCTGTAAATAAATCTTTAAAAAAAAAAAAAAAAAAGAATAGTTCTTCCTTTAAGAAAAAAATCCATCATTCTCTGGTTTTAACAATGCAATCACATGTTTACCAAATTGACTTTTTTTTTTCAAATTGACTTTTTAAATAAATCGTATTAGTCTGATAAGATGATCTAACTTTGTAATTTATATTGTCCCAGCCACGAACTGTTGTATGTAATTTACCAAAAATTTCCTACCTAGATTTGCTCTGTAACTTGGAATTGGAAAGAAAGATTGCTGATCTTCAAAAGGAACTGAATAAAGAAGTAGAAGAAAATGCAGCTTTGCGCAATGAAATCAACATGCTCTCAGAATTGAAGCCTTTGCCGTCAGAAATAGAAATGCTGAGGGAAGAGGTAAGCTCATTTTAAGCAAAAATTTAGTATGTAAGGGAAACGTGTGCAGTAAAGTCTTAGTATTTGCCCTGGTCTGCTGTACAGTGAGTGCTTGTCTGAGCCCGTTGGCAGTAGAGTGGGTATGCTTTCTCCTCTGCTTCAGCCTTGAGCTGCTGCGCGAACGCCGCGCTTCCCAGAGCGCCAGGCGAGCTTGGCGACCTGACCGCACGGCCACCGTGTCTGGGCATCTCCGTGTGGTCACGCATGATTCTGCAGTCACCCTTAGATCTCACGTGTTTCCCTGCATGTCCTTTCACCCAACTGAGTAAGAGGCGGTGCTGCTCAACCTTTTACAGAAGTCCAAAGATGGACATCTGAGATCTGACTCTGACAAACATCCAGAAAACCTCAGAAACCTTTCATTTTGCATCCAAAGCCCTAAAGTTGTTTCTTTTCAGCCCAACCGAGAGTTGAGCTGACTCGTGTCCACCCTATTGGTCACCAGTTTCCTTTGTCCCTGCTTTTCCCACCACCCTCCACCCTATGTGATTAAACCTCACAGGCTGAATGATTTGTTTCAGTTCCGTAAGTAATAATTTTAACTAAAGCTTAATTATTTCATGCATTCGGGTTTGGGCTGTCTAAGCTGGATTCAGAGCCTTTGGGGTAGAAGAAATGAGTCAAATCCTAAGAAAAACTGAAACACTAGCCATGCTGTGTAGCACTTGACAGGGACGGAAGGGGATGTGTGTCCCCATGAGATATTCTACTAGCCATTCTGACAGCCTTCTGGGGGCCGGAGAGATTTGAAAACAAAGCGTGAGAGGCACAGTTAAGCAGGATAACACCTGTTGTAGCAGTGTGACCGTGAAAATCTCAAATCCTGGCTTCATTTCGCTATAGATTCCTCGGTAGAGGTTTTCTCCCTGAAAGCTTCATCAGCTAATCATACATTGCTGACAGAGCTGAGTTTTCCACAGATAAATGCTAAGTCTGAAGCGCTCTCTACAGTGACGTCAGAAAAGGACCGCTTGTTTTCTGAGGTAGTTCATAAGGAAAGCAGGATTCAAGGCTTAACTGGGGAAATTGGGAAAGCTAAGGACATTCTGTCGCTACCCAGACGCTCTGTAAAGGCACAGGTCGAGGCATCGTGAGTCAAAGACTCACCTTGAACTCAAAGGACTCACCTTACGCTGTGGGATTGGTTCCTGTAGGCAGTTCGCAGAGTGCTCTCCTCACATGTGCTTGTTTTAAAGCTTTCTCACAAAACCCAGGAACTTGAGCAGAAAGCAACAGAGAGTCAAGCTAGGCTGAGCGGGATGGAGCAGCTGCAGGCGCATGTGGAGAGTAGCAGTTCCAGGCTGCAAGTGCTGGAGAGCGAGAAGACAGCGGCTACTGAGAGGCTGCAACAGGCCTTGGAGGAAGTGAGAGCCCTGGTCCAAGAGAGGGACGAGCTGAGACAGCTGCAGGAGCACCTGCAGGCGGAACGGGACCAGCTGAGGAGTGACATCCAGGACACCGTCCACATGGTGAGGCCCAGCGGCCTCTCAGCACCGCCTGGTGGGGGGAGGCAGCACTGCTTTCGCTGCTGCCACGTGACTGCCCTTCTTTCTTTGGTACAGAACATAGAGACCCAGGAACAGCTACGAGATGCTTTGGAGTCCTTGAAACAACACCAGCAGACAATCACCACACTGAAAATGAAACTGTGTGACGACGTTTCCAGGGATTTGCCAAAAGAGAAAAACACAGGAGAAACTGAGGATGGATTTCAGGGAGAGGTACAGGTGTTTCTGTTCTCGGTGTCGGTACTTGTCTGTGAACTTTCTTAATGTCAGACTGGAAATCTTGGTCTTACATGTTTCCCACGTGTTGATGACGAGTGATAATTTACATGAACCCTAATGTCCTTGAAATAATTTTGAATGTGACTACTTTCCTATTATTTTGAAAAGGAAAAGACCAAAAATATTACTTCACACTTTTAAGTTGACATTTCTTGAGGCCTGGTGTATTTTATATGCTTCAAATTCACTCTCAATTCTAAGAACATAGGAAAGTTTGGATTACTAGTGTTTATGGTCAGAATATTTAATGTTAGGTTTTGTATGTTAAACTTGGATGCGCATTGACTCTAAACAAAGAGTAGGTGCTCTGGTGTCTATTTCTAGGGCTTGGGCTGTCAATTCACTGCGAGCTGACCCATGGTAGGTTGTGTGGTTTGCTTTGTCCTATGAGCTTAGGAAAGCAGCTCTGAGCTAGTCACTGAGTTGTCCACAGGACGGCGGCGTGCTAGGGACGTGTTTGGAGAAGTTGTGTTTACTTGCTCCTGTTGCGTGACCAAGTGTCATTGTAGCCAAGCATATATTCTCGATTGTTTGGCCCTCGTGGTCCTGACCACACTCCCCAGAGTCACAGGAGGTTACGGTGGCACTCGACTGCACACCCTGACTACAGACCCCCGTGGCCACGTTTGTCCTGTACCAGGCCCTGCACACTGCAGTTTGCTTTCCACTGAGACTGGTCTCTTGTCAGTGGCTGTGGGACGCTCTTTTTAAGAACCATCTGTTAAGCTCAGTGAAGCCCTCACGAGCTTTGTTGGCAGTGGGGTCAGGCAGCTTGTGCAGGAAAGACATAGGCCCAGAGTTCCAGGTGGCTTTTAAAGCCAGGCTCACCTGCCCTACCTGGCAGTCGCGTTTGTGTCCATAGTTTGAACATTGTTCCTCCCTGAGCACCATGGGCAAGGGCCTCCTTGCTGGATCTGGTTTTCGCATCTGTCCAGTGACCCTAGCAGCCCCTCCCTCATAGGGTTATAATGAAGACAGAGCTTTGGTTTAACTGGTAATAAAATTGGGACCTGTGTGAACCAAGAATTGCTTCTTTGTCGCCTTTCCATTTAGGCATCTGGCGTGGATACACAGAACTTGGAGGCCAGAACAGCCCAGATGCTGATCACAGGCGTAGATGATCATGAGCAACAGAAAAAGATCCTTTCTTTAGTGCAGGAGAAAGAGGAGCTGCAGCAGGAGGTGGCAAGGGTCACCGCAGAAAAGGAGCAGCTGGAGGCCGACCTCAAGGACAGCATTGAAATGGTGGGAGCAGCGCTGGGCTGTGCCAGGCATCTTTGTCCTTGTCTTGATTTCTTTACAACTGGGAAATTTCACTCACTCTGTGTCTGAGGTGTCTGGGGACACCAACAGGTCTGTCCTGGGCACCCTCTACCCTGCCAGACGGCACCTCCTTCACCCAGAAAAGGCCCCCTGTTTTTGTTTTGTTTTGTTTTTCTAAAATGTGTTTCCTTAAACTCTCCCCTCTTTCCTTAACCTCATTGAGTTTATCAAAATCTTAGGTCTGTTTCATTCTCCTAGAGAAGTAAAGTCCATGCTGCCTTATGTAAGAGCCCCCAGTGTTTGTTTGGGCTCCCCCATAAGTGTCTTTACCAAAGGTGAAAATGGCTTACCTGAAACACACTTCCAAGATGAGAAATGAGCTGTCTGACAGGCCTGTCTGTGTATCTAGTCTCTCATTAAGCTTATTCGTCTTTACCACACCTGCTTGGCGTGTGACATTGTGAGTTTCTCTACCATAAGCCCGATGACAGCCAGTCATCGCTCTGCCTTGAATCGTCCCTGTTGTGCCTTCAACCAGAGGGCACTGTCTCTTCTGGGCCTTCACACAGGGAGAGCCACCAGTCTTGGTTCTCATGACAGGACTGAAAGCTTGGCAGTAAAGACGCAGCACCAAGAAAATAATAAGATTCTTCGCATGCTTGAGTAACAATTACTCTATTTTTAAATTAGCCTTTCCTGGTACAGTTTCATACAACTTCATTTTCAGGCTGAGATAATGCTTGTTAGCTTTTACTTGATTTCATAAATGGAAGCTGGCATGTTTTGATTTTAGTTTTTTTTTATTGTAGACAATTGAAAACCAGGAAGAACTGAGAATTCTTAGAGTTGAACTTAAAAAGCAACAAGAGATCATTACACAAGAAAAGGCCTGTACCATCCAGAAAGATGAGCTTTCCAGGGCCCATGAGAAACTATTAGAAGCTGAAGAAAAGCTAAAGGAAAAGGTAAATTCTCATGTTACTCACCGATTTTCCTGACTAAACTTTTTTTTAAGTGATAAATTTTTATTCCAGTAGTCCAAAGTTTCAGAAATAGCATTATTTACCTCCTAGGCAAACAGGCCACAGTGCTAATGTTTTATGGGGAGCTTTGCGGGGGTAAGAGATAGAGTGGGGAGCAGAACAGGCCGGCCTGCTGAAATGCTGACATTTTGGACAGTCTCTGCTGCACGAGAGCTAGATACCGTCCTTGGTGAGACTGTTGCCGTAGCGTCTCATGGGGAGCCAGGAGGCCTTGTTAGGTCAGCTGAGTAAGTCCTGTGATGTCCTTCAGTGAAGGCCACTAACAGGGCCCCTGTTAGTGAGGTACATAAGACCACGATGCTGCGCTTGTGGGGATGCCAGTCACCCCCTTAGGTGGAAGATCTGTCACTGTCCCCTCCGGGCCCTGTGTCATAGGATGAGCCCTGTCCAGGTGCTTGTGCAGAGCTGGCGCCCTGGTCACGGTGGTGCTGCGAGCGCTGCGGCTGAGCCCTCCCACGCCGCGCCCACAGCAGTGTGCGGCCAGAGGAGCGCCAGGCTTCCGGGGTGGGGTGGGCTGTGTTTTCTAAAATGTGCTCCCTAAGTCTCCCCTCTTTCTCTGTAACCTAATTGAATTGATCAAAATCTTAGGTCTGTTTCATCCTCCTAGAGAAATAAAATCCATACAGCCTTGTATCGAACCAAAAATTATGTAAGAGATGAGAAGTGAGTCGTGTGACAGCTATAGCTGTGTTTTCAAGTAGTCTCTTTCTCCATCTTTCCCATGTCCACTATAACCTCCTTGATTAACCTTGTGACATTGTCTCTATGTCAAATTACCATAAACTTGGTGATGTAATTGATGTTCTCCTGGTGCTGAAGTCCCTCGACAGGTGTCAGCAGTACCGTGTCCCTCCTTCCTGCCCCGCCACCCTGCGTGCCCTGGCCTGCTGCCGAGACCCTCCCGTCCCGGCCTCTACCTGCGTGCAGCTCTCTGCATTCTGTCCTTTCCTGTGTCTTAACGAGGTGCTCTCACTGGATGTAGAGCCCCCAATACAGCAGGGTTTCTCGTGAAATAAGAGATGCCTTAGCTGGGCATGCCTCCAGATAAGGTCACAATCTGGGGTTCTGGGCGGACATAGACTGCAGGTGAGACGCTTCATCCCCTGTGTCTGGGAGTGGGTTTGCTTTTCATGCTTCTCATCTTCCTACCTGAGGCGGCGGTAAGGATCGGTCTAGTTGAGTAATGTAAGAATTTTAGGAAATTACGTTCAAAATAGCAATTAACATTTTTAATTCTTAAGAGCCAACAACTTGAAGAAAAACAGCAGCAACTTTTTATTGTACAAGAAGAGGTGAGGGAGATGCAGAAAAAGATGAATGATATGGAGAATTTAAAGAATGAATTAAAGAACCAAGAATTAACATTGGAACGGCTGGAAGAAGAGAGACTAGATTTGGCTCAGAAACTTCATGAAAACCGTGAAGAAATGAAATCCCTAACCAGAGAAAGAAATGACCTCAAGGAATTACAAGATTCATTTGAAATAGAGAGAGAGAAACTTAAAGAGAATATAAGAGAAATGGAACTGAAAGTAAGTTACCACCTCTTCTGTCATGTTCTTCAAAACTGAGCTAGTCGGGAAGGGGGAGGCACAGCTTTGGTTTGTTGCTATGATCTTTACCTGACCTTTTCTAATAAAGGGTCTAGAAACAAAGGAAGAACTAAGAATGGCCCACATTCATCTGAAAGAGCACCAGGAAACTATTGATGAACTAAGAAATACTGTTGAGAAGACATCACAAATGGTTTCTATTCGGGACTTAGAAAAATCCAATACTGGATTACAGCGCGAGGTTTGTCTTTTCCTCCTTCCCTCCTCTGGCCTTTCTCTCCTTTCTCCCTTGAAGGAAAAATCGGCAGGAAGGGGTGTCAGGGTTACGCTGTGATCATTCCCTGGAAAGCATTTGCTGAGGGACTGGCGTGGCGCGCGCAGTCCTGGGCTGTAGAAACAAAGGGGAGCCAGTGGACAATCCCTGATATAGAACTTCCTTTGTGGAGGAGGACGAGCCCAGCCACCCGGCACGTGAACCAGATGGCTGCGCTGGCGGCAGGCGCCCTGGAGGGCGGGAGTCCCTGAGCACCTGAGGGCCACAAGCTCTGTGACAGCCCCTGTGTGCCAGGCATTGGGCCTTGCGCCCGAGCAGGAAGTTCTGTCCATCCAGTACGGGTGTGCCAAAGTCCAGTTTGGTAAATGCAGGCACCGCCAGCAGCTGTGGCAAAGGGTGGTCAACATGTACGAGTGGAAGCTTGGGAAGCAGTGCTGGCGCTCCTTCGGAAACGGAGCACTCCGTTTTGGGGATATAAACTGCTGGACTTTGTGTTTTCTGCTGTAGATTTGGGAACTAGTTTGGAAATGAAGGAGCTTAGGGCCGACTGAGTGGCAGTTTGTCAGTAACACATTCAGGTTAGTTCACTTGGGTTGAAAGCTGAAGAAAAAAATAACGGACAGAATGTGGCCAACAGCAGCAAGAGGCATGAGCAGAGGGCTTGCGAGCCCCCGTGGGCCGAGAGCCCTGCAGCCTCCACCCTGTGCTGTGAGAGACCTGATGACCTCCAGGTCTGACCTTGTGTTTCGTGACCGTCCCAAGACCCCAGATTCCCCTGAGGAGCAGCAGCTGCCTGCTGGCCCGAGTGAGGTCTGCCGGACCCGGGAGACAGTGGACGAATGGGCACCCTGGGAAAAACCGCCCGGCACCGAGAATGCGGCCGTGGTGGCCGGCGCGGGAGAGGATCCGCCCAAGCCCACGGGAAAGCTACAGGAGAGCCCTAGGGCGGGGAGACCACTAGCTGGGGAGAGAGGCCACCTGAAAAGGACAGAAGAGACGCTTCGAGCTGAGCAGCTAGAAGAAGACGGGAGCAGGGCCGTGGCCGACGTGAGTTCCCACTGTCCTCCCTCCAGAGGCGTGCGAGAAGCAGGCTTGGGGGGATGGGGGGGGGGCTCTGTGTCAGTTGTGACATCAGTTTCCTCACTGCCTCTTGGTGTTCCTCCTAAACATTAAGAAATTGCTGAAACAAAATATGCTTCAGAGAGGACTATTTTCCTTAAATACTCTTTGGAACAAACATGTTAAATTATCTGGAATTAGTTCAGCAGCACTATTTCTTTTAAACTGATCCTTCCACCTTTTCATGCTGCTCGGCCCTCTCCCTCACTGTCCTCAGAAACCCAGGAGCCGCCCCTCCGCTCTCTCCCTGGCCCTGTGGTGTGAAGAGGCAGGGTGTGTCTGTCTGTAAGAGCCCCCGCTTTTCTGTCCATCTGTCACCAGCCTTCATTACTCCCTTCCCTGACTTTCTGTAAATAGCCTGCCACCCGGCCTGCTCGTTTCTCACCTTCTCCAATCCCCTATCCTGACCACATGCAGCCTTTGCCTGTAGGCCCGGGAACGCTTCTCTGGTCTCTGGCTCTCCCTCTTCCCGAGGACGCCCTGTTCTCCTGCCTGCACTGTTTCTTGAGCCCCCTTCGCCTGAATAGACACCTTCACCCTCCACTAGGAGGCCCCACCCGAGGGAGTCCTCCCCAGCACCGACCACGGTGAGATTGCCGCAAGGCCAGGAGCGCCCCGCCGGGTCTGGTGGCGTGTGGCGTAGTGTCGCTCCCACCCAAGGGGTCAGGCTCGCCGTTTGCCGTCCAGCCTCCTGCAGGACCCTGGCAGCATGGTGCCCTCAGTGACTGCTAGCAGCTGAGTAGGGAGGGGCGGGAAGCCTCTCTGGGAATGGGCTGGGCTCTAGCTGGACCGTTGTAGAAAGTATCCTGTGTTTTTCCCTCGAATAAAATGCAGACTCTAAATAGCAACTGTATTGCTTTATGATTCTCTTAAGGCCCAAGAGTCTCAAGAAGAGCAAGAACAGTCCTTCAACATGGAAGAAAAAGACAGTGTGACTAGGAAAACGATGAGCGAGGTAAGGGGATCAGAGGCAGCACTCAGTGGCGAAGCTGTATCTATCCCAGAGCTGGGGATGGGAGGGCCCAGCTGCTCACAAGGGCTGCGGGGAGCCCGTCAGGCTGACAGTGACCAACTCCGAGAAAAGTTGGAAGCGCTCACAGCTGAAGTAGGTTTTTTTTTTTTTTTTAAAGATTTATTTATTTATTCATACAACTGGGGTACAGGCCAGAGATGCGGAGGG